TCCTGGGTGTCAGTTCTTCGCTTTTATGAAAGAGGACCACCCCATCCATAACATCAGGTAAAAGTTAATTATCTTCTCATTAAAGCTCTTGGTGCAGAGTGCAAGATCTTCAGTAGAAATAAAGTGATGTGAAAGAAAACACTCAGCAAGGTTAACTATGAAAAATCTGTTGTGCTGTTGCAACCTGACTGAAGCAGTAAGAAAATTGATAAATAAAGATACAACATTGAACTTCAAATGTTTTTGCCCAATAAGTTAAGTGTGACATGTATGAGACTTGTTAATATAATCTCAACCACTAGAGGGCGTGCTACAGTTGAAAATGAAGGGCAGTGACTGATGCTCATACCTTGATGTGGATTATTTGAAAAATGTGGGCTCAACATTAGTTTAACATTTCTAAAGTCAAGTTCAGTTGAAATGTTGTAAACAAAGCTAACTGGCCACTACCTGCAGGAGATAAGTAGTAATTCTGAACCAATCAGAGAGACAAATTTGAAGACAAGCAGAATCTGAAATAAGTAGAAATTGATGATGTCGAACATGCCACACAAAAGAAATTTACTTGGGTTTTTACTAAATTTGTTAAACTAACTTGCAATTAGTTGTAGTAGCAAACTGCTTCTAATGTGTTCTATGTGTAGAATATTCCTTAAACAATCTAATATAGATTAGTGGTAAACATTTTCTGCCATATTGCAATGATTTAATTACAATGGGAATGACCTAGCAAGTTTTGTGTAGCTAAATACCAAAACAAGCAAAAATCCACAAAAGCACTAAAAGTCATCACTAAGGAGAATTAATGAGGTAAGTAGGGGGGCGCAAACTTCAGTGTTTTAGTTAACATTTGAAAGAAGAAAGTACTACATAATCTTGATAATTTCATCAGAGTGGTCAACTGCTGAATTAATCTGAAAAAAAAAAAAAAAAACAACTCAAAGCTGTACTTTCTTCAACTTACTGGAACTGCTTGTGTTTAGAGATACTTGCGGCGCCATGACCCACATGACCCACATGACCCACTTCCACATGTTTTCATGTCCACGGAAGACAATGAGTCTCTCAATATGCTGCTCTGCGTTGCTTGTGCTAAGCATTAGTTTTTGTGTTAATAAGTTTCTGATGATTACTTAAAATCTTATAACCTTTTCTACACAAGAAATCACACAGCAGGGCCTCTGAACATCTTTTCTCTGCCATTTAAATGTCTGTTTTCTTTGCTTCTAGATTCAAGTGCTACCTTAAGTTTAGCTGGAGTGTCCCGAGGACTCCTATTGTGGAAAAAAAGGCTGGAGTCACATCCGGATTTGCCCAAAAAACCCAACAGACTCAAGAACTTGACACACGTAAACAAATATCAAGAGCTAAAACGCTGGTCTTTTATTGTGATTTTCATGGTGTTGATTTTTGTTTTGTTTTGTGCCATTTGCAGCATGTCAGAACCAGTTTTTTTCCAAACACTGACATCCCGGGAAGCAACCTTGAGCATCAGAAGTCTGTTTCCGTTGAGCACTGTCAAGTCCTGTGTTCGGCTCATCCAAAGTGCACTTACTTCTCCTTCAGCAGGTAGCAAATGATCCCTTTATCATAGCTGTTCTGATTGGTCGATCAACTAAGACGTAGCACATTTAAAACCTTTTTAAATCTTTGTGATTCCTCAGTGATGACTTTGAATGCTATTTGAAGAACAACCTCAACAACTTGACAGTTAAACCAAAAGACGGAATCACATCAGGCATACCGGCACACTTCTGTCAGCTTGACGACAGTACGCACCATCAGTCAACACAAACACTAAACATAGCCCACTTTCTGCTCTCAGAGATGTATTGAAGCAAAGTCCAAAGTGGAAATAAACGTTAGAGGTCTTTGACTTATGTCAAATTTAGCTGCTTTAATTATTAATGCTACCTTAACTGTGCCCATTGTAGACTCGTATGTTATTTTAACAGCAGAGATTTGACCAAATATGTCTTTCCTACCAGCGTGGGTCAAGCAGAGCTATGAAGGTGTGGATTTCCGTGGCTCCGACATTCGATTCGAGCTGATGGATACGGCAGAGCTCTGTCAGTTGAAATGTGACGAGGACCCCAACTGCCAGTTCTACACCTATGTCGATGAAAACTTCTCTGACCGTGCAGCATGGTACATTATTCCTTATCCATTATCCATTATCCATTATTATTGAAATTCAGGTAGAAATTTACTGATGTTGCCACTTTGTCGCTGAACCGATATTTCCTGTTGTCACTGCTGCAGGCGTCGCTGCTATCTGAAGAGGGTCATCACCATGCCAGCTCCTCCCATTGTTAACAAACAAGCCAGTGTTGTGTCTGGCTTCAGCCTGAGGGACTGCAGAACATCACTTGCTTAACAGACAGAAAGCTTTCAGAAATAAACTTTTATTCTCTTTTGATGGACATTTTCTGTTACCTTCAGACAAAGATATATATATATATATATATATATATATATATATATATATATATATATATATATATATATATATATATATATATTTGGCTAAAGGTTTTGTTTTGATTTCTTGGCACACTTTCAACAAGATTACATCGAGATTAGCAACTTTTGTAGAATAGTTATGTTCCGGTCGTCTTACCAGAACTATCCAATCATTATAAATTGAGCCAAAACAACTGCACAAATCAAAGGAAAGGACACCACTGGCTGAAATTTCCAAATACACACCAATGGGTGTTACGCCCTATAAAAGTTTTATAACCATTAAAAGTTGGGAGATTTCATGCATTTTGTGAGATCTTGGAAGTTCTGTTGTAACTTGAATTTGTTGATGTGCTAAATAAATCTCCTCCTGATTGGCAAGATACGAGTCCTGTGATTATTTCTTCCATGAGTTGGCCACTTTTCACTCCCCAATATAATGTGACCACAAAATCATGATGTTGCAGCAAGTCCTCCGATTGTTGCATGATGATTTTTTTTTCTGAACTGCTGAAATGGAGCATAGACTCATTAAAATTATTGAGATAAAGTTCTGAGTTCTTCTATAACATTCCAGATAAGTCATCATTGGGCTATTGGTGCAATTTGGTAGATCAGTTAAGTAGCCATAACGTTTTCTCTAAAGATAGAATAACACCAACTGCATACATATAGAAATGAAAAAATATAGAACCTTATGAGGTGCAACAAAATGAGTTGCATCACTGAATGTGACATTTCTACTTTCTGCAGGAGATGGATCACAAAAATTACTGTAAATAAGATTTGATCAGTAATCAGTATGCCGGTTATGGATTATTTGTAAATATTTTGATTTCACCTTTTTAAAAGACACCATTTTCTGTAGATCATGGCAGTATTGGCACCATGTCCTGACCAGGATTTTCTTATTTTTCTGCAAATTAGACTTGACCAGAGTTCTGACTATCAAATTGTAATAATGAAAATGCTTCCTATATAATATGTGTAAAATGTTTGCACATTTTTAAAAGATCCCATTTTGTTAAAACGATCGTTATAAGAGTTGATTTTCCAAAGACTTGTGATTTCCAGTAGTTTCCAGCTTTTAGAAGAATTCATTTATTTCCAAAACCATACACCTGTCCAAATGTTTTTCCTGTAGAATAAAACCCGAATACCCATTCTACAATTACAGTTTTGACAAAGTGCTGATTATCAAATGGTTATAAGAATCTAGTTTACAATTTTATAAGTGTTCATTTTCTGAAGTATTTTAAATTGCAATTGGCCAGTATGGGGACTGAACCCATGACCTTGGCGTTATTAGCATCACACTCTGACCAGCTGAGCCAATACAGCCATACGGCCATACAGAATGCTGAGTTTTCATCGATTTAAGAGAAACATCCACGATCTTACCACAATGAAGATTTGACAAAAGTGCCTATTACCTCATGTCTTTGTTATGCAGCATTTGTAAATATTTAGTTTCCATATTGTTACCTTGGCGATTTTAAATAAGCAACCTTGTCTGAACATTTCTTCATCATTACCTAGCATACTAGGTCTAAGGGCATTTTTACAACCTTGCTGGGTTTCCTGTCAATTCAAGAGACCAGAAACATTCCCTTATGGTCTGACTAGTGCAGCCAATGAGGCAGAACGGAAACCAAGTCCAAATTTTAAAAACGTTTGTCTAATAATTACAATGTGCTGAGAAGCTCTTCATTTATGTTAGTCTAAAACCAACAAAACAGTGTCCTGTCTTATATTGGTCACATTGACCTGTGTTATCTGATCTGAATGGACATGTTGAAATGTCACTGCTGGGTTTTGTTGCAGGCAATGGGTGACAGACTGGCGATGGGTCAACGGTCCATCCCAGACAAGAAGAAGAGGTTACTGAATAACAACCTCCATGCCTTTTGGTTCACTTCAGCACATCCCATCATGCAACTGTGCTGTTTTATGAAAGGAGGAATTCAAAGTTAACTTGGGATCTCGTCTCTGTGCTCAGTTAGTTTTACAGGAAAGCAATAACCGCATTGTACTCTTAAATCTGTGTGATTTTGGGTTGCTGATTAACGTGTTTGCCATTGATGCTGCTCTGTGTGACCTCGTGTCTTTCTGTTGATTCTTCTGTTGCTTATGTTCTGTTTATTGATCTGGATTCCTTTTTTTTTTGTGGACATTTTCAATTACTATTCACAAAATGTTGTGCCATGTGAAGATCTCAGATTAAAGGCCTGGAAGATGAGTCAGTTATATCTTCAGGCATTTAATGTATATCAACCTAGATTTAGATTTTTTTAATACTATAGAAACATTTTAAAAGTAGAATGACAACCTCAACTTTCAGCTGTTTGGTTCTACACTAATAAAATACTGTTCCAGCGTATTTTCAGGACCCAGAAACACTCTGTCATGTAGAGAACAATTTGTAAAATATGCCTGGCTTGATGAATGTTCTTCTGTAAGACGAAAAAAAAATGACCATAATATTTCAAAATCAAACCAAAACCACTGCTGGATAGTTTAATTTTTTTTTTGTTTTGTTTTGTTTTTGCAGACACAAAAACAGGGGAAAAAAAAATCTGCAAATATTTGCTTGAAGTTAACAGACGAATTCTGTCACATGCAAACAGAGCTTTAGATTTTTTTTTAAAATCCTGAGACTTTTATGAACTTCTACAGTTCCTCAAGGTGAAGCCAGACATGACATTGTCCACTCTCCTAATGTGGGAAGGCGTAGGCATGGTGACGACTCGCTTCATATAGCAGCGGTGCCTGCAACACAAAAAACAACAATTCATATATCGCTGCTGTAGCCAAGTACGAACATTTGATGACTGCAGACACCGTACCGATGTTCGGGGTGGAAGAAGCTCCCGTTGTGGTAGGTGTAGAACTGACAGTTGGGGTCCTCTGTGCACTTCTCCTGGCAGATGTCCACAAAGTTCACCACCTCAGAGCGAAAGTCCGAGCCACGAAACTCGATGTCTCTGTAGGTCAGCTTGGCCCAGCCTGTCAGCAAAAGTAGTTTTTATGGTTAGATTTTGACAGCGAACTTCTTCAGGAACATGTTGAGAAAAACAGCAGCTTCCTAGAATGGAAATAGTTAAAAATCAATCTGTGATAATTGATTATTTGCTAAAATATAGTTGTGGACAAACTGAGGTTGAATTCGTAGCTTCAGATGGCAAGTATGCTAAAACAAGAATCAAGGATGATTATTATATTTGCACTTTTACAAAATACTCTTGCACTATTTTCTTTTGAGCTTAAGTACAATTATTAAACCATTTAATGTCTTTCAAATTTTCAGTGCTGAAATTGTCAAATTAAATTTAATTAAATTCCCATTTTTAATGAAGTTGTATAAATATGTTAGATCTATGATCTGTGTAAAAAGTCAAGCTTTCATGGGAGGCCCCTTATGGTTTCTGGGCTCTAAGCAGCAGCTTAGTTTGCTTATGCCTTGGGCTGGCTTTAAGGAGCACTAATATGAAACGCTATTAAAATCAAACCAATACAGATGAAGAGTTTAGTTATGTAGCTCTATTCACAAAGCAATTCAATTTGAAGACAAGGAGAGATTAATGCGACAATTTTTGTCTCTGTGGAAGCAAAACTTCCATAGATTCTGACCACAAATACAGCAAAAATGAAGACAGGTGAGTTTTAAACTGTGTTGCTCGTGAAAATGTGTCTGTTCTGGCTTTCATGTTAATTAGTTGAACGTACTTTCATCAATCTGACAGAGGTGAGATGAAATTCCTGATGTGAAGTTGCTTTTCGTTTTGGCCACCATGCTGTTTGGATTGTTCTTCAAGAAACACCTGAAGTCGTTACTGTAAAATATAAGGCATTTCCCTTTAAAGTTTCTCTAAAGTAATCGAAGTATCAAAACAAATCAAAACCACCATCTATAAATATCTTAGACAGTCTCATACTCCCCACCTGCTGAACGAGAAGTAGGTACATAGTGGATGTACGGAGCACAGGAACTGACAATGTTCGGGAGAGACGGCTTGCGATTCCAGGAAGTCATTTCCTCTGAAGTCGGTATTTGAAAAAAGTTGGCTCTGACAAACTGCGCAAAACACAGAATAAAGGTGATAAGGAGGCAAAAACGTCGATGTACATTACTTCGCCACGGAGACACTCCAGTCGTCCGCGTACCAGTGGCAAAGTGTTGAGTGAGTTGTGGTTTCTGGGAGAATCCAGAAATGACTCCAGACTTTAGCGCGACAGCAGCCGGTCTGGGCACAAACCAGCTGAATTTAAGGTGGCACTTGTACCTAGAACAGAGGGAACAACAAAGTTTTCTAAAAGGAACAGCTGATCTTGTCACTGGATTCACACAAAAAGAAAGCAAACAGTTTCAAGGTGGTTCAGCAGTGTACCAGGCCATCCTAGGGCCAAGGTTTGTGTTCAATTTTGTAGTTGTATCATCATAGCTGCGGTGTTCTGTCTTGGACCAGAGGACCTGTTGGTAAGCACCAGCGGTTATGGAAGCCATTGAGCTGATTGAGTCTTTTAGGGATTGGTTGTCCTTAGTGACTCCTAAAGCAGCAGGCAGGTACCAGGTGACCAAAAGCTTCTGTAGTTGGAGGAACATGGGAGGACCCAGACTCAGGATATGATGGGTTGATTATTTCCTTAATGTGGACATCACTACCAGAGATCTGCTGTTGTCATACCAACCTTCCAGACCTCTCACGTCTTCTGATTCTGGCTTTGGCTTTGGTATGGGAATACATCTCACACACACCAAACAAATAAACAACAACAACAACACCATTGATATTGTTGGGTAGTTCAGATTTTACCTGACATCCGGAGATGAGAAGTTCCCCGTTACAAACGTAAAGAACTGACACACGGGATCAAGCGTGCAGACCCTCTGACACTCCTCAAAGTTTGCAGTGAAAAAGGTTTCGTAATCCCCACCGTGGAAATCCACATCCTCAAAAACCTGAGAAAAACAAAGCGCTGGAACCATGGCGACAGAAATATGGTCAACAAGCATTAGAGAAATCTAGATACGCATGGGTTTTGTGGGGGGCGGGGGGGGGAACAAGTAAGAGAGAGTCACAGCTTTATGATTATGTTCACTCAGGAGTTTTGTTTTGTAGAAAAAGAATAATAAGCATTTTTACGATAAATTTTCATCACCACATTAACATGGGAAAAATATATACCACACCAAATGATTTACAGCTACAGTATTGTAAAATTTAAGCGAACTTACTCGGCTCCAGATTGCAGGTTTTGAGAGAATAGCCTGAAGTGACGCCCAGCAGTAAAACCTGAGACTGTGGGTGTCCGGAAGAACTTGATTTCAGGTAGCATCGAAAACTCCTGAAAAGAAAGGAAGAAAATAAATGTTTTTAAATATATTACAATTTTCTCTAGTACTTGAGTGTTTTATTGAGAATATTCTGCCTGCCAGCTCTCTGGTAAAATGAAATAGTAAGTTAAAAATATTTCTTACCAAAGCCTGTTTCGCTTTTCTTTTATGCATTTCAAGCTATTTTAATATAAAATTGTGCACAGTGTCTTGGTGAAATGTTTCATTTGTGTTTTTGTTGGCATCGTTGCCCTCATACCCTGACGACTTCTCAGGCCGATTGTAGCTGAAGAAGAGGCACGATGGGTGCTGGGTGCAAAGCTCTTGACAATGCTCCACGGACGGAGAGTACAAATCTACTACGTCTGACCCGGGAAAATCCACATTTAGCAGAAAACCTTGAATACATGCTGAGGAAATTGTGGAGAAAACAGATTATTGTATGTACAAAAGAAAAAAAAAGTGGAGTTAGTAAAAATAATTCACGCCTGAGGATCCGTGGGAACGCAATATACGTGTGCAAAAAGTGTACATTACCTTGAGTTGGAGAAAGGCAGACTACCAGCAGCAGGAAAACTCTCACAAAACAGGACTCCATCTTCTTCTGCAGATGGTAAACAGAAAAAGTGAGGCTGCTCTCATCCGAGAGATGGTTAAGTAACAGATTTATTAAACACGGGTGGGACAAAGGGCAGTTTTGCAACTCTCAGTGGATGACTCTGAGAAGTCAAACAAAGTCATTTTAAAGCAAAAAGATGGAAACTATATTCCAAAATTTCACACAAAAAAAACTAATCCTGGATTGTAATGGTGATAAATGTACTAAGTTTATCATATACCCACCGATATGGTTTACCTTTTAAGAAATGCTAAAACTTACATGACCTGCTCTTGTGTTATGGGTCAGACTGATCTTGTTTAATTGAACAGGATGACATGACATAATAATAAGCTGATGCTAGGGGTGAAGGGGGTTGTGCATGGGTCAAATTTGTAGCCTATCCCAGCATTCAGTGGGTGGGAGAAAGGCTGCAGCCTGGGCAAGCTGCCAGTTCAGCACTGATAAGGAGAAGAACTGAATAAGCAACCAAACCAAAATAAAAATGATAGAAAACAGGGACTGTGTTGCAGTTTGTCTGTTGTTTGTACCAGTTTGTACCATTAAGATACACATTTTTACTTAAAATTTTTATAATGCAAAATTTGCTTTACATGATTTTCGCTGATGACAAGCACCGTTGAGATGTTGATTTCATTTTCCAGAGGGACTTGGCACCTGTTCACCTCACCAAAACACCAATAAGTGACCTTAGAATCGCTGGTCACTTATTGACCAGTGAAGTAGCGTGACCTAAGCCCTGCTGTGGCGTTAAGAGAATGACAACAGACACCAGAACCAACAAGACTGTCAACATTTGACAAAGAGATCAATTTACAGTCCATAAAGTGACATCCTGTTGAAGAAATAAACAACATTTCTACAGTTTGAGTTTTTAAAAACTGAATATTCTCAAAATAAATTCTGAGCAAAACACAGAATCGGTGAGGTCCACTTTAGGGTTGTCTGACATTCTAATGTATATTTTAGATATTATTTTTAACTGCATGAAGTTTTTCAAAAACCTACGACACAGTTTTTGTTCAGTGATTTTTTTACCTTGTCTGAAAACTTTATGACAACTTTTAACGTCACTGGAGTAAAATTTAAAAGGTTTCCCTCCTTTTTCTCTAGATTTGCTGTCTGTTCTCTTAACAGTAGTCAAAATTATTTTATGTATTTGTACTTTCATTATCTTGATTTGAAAAGACACACCTTAAACCTACAACGAAGGAATTAAAATGATCTATAATCTACTTTAAATCACCTTATCTAATAATCACTCCAGGAAAAAGGCAGTTGTTACGTAATGTAAAAAAAATCTAATATATTTGAGGAAAAAAACTAAATCAATCAAGCCCAATTTTGAACGTCTATTGTTTCTGCAGCTATAAACTTTGCGCATCAGTCCCAAATCAATTTATTGTTGGTGTCCTCACAAAGCAGCTGACAAGATGAAGACTCTTCTCATTTTAGTGGGTTTGTTTCACTTCTGTGATATTAAATTTCAGGAATAATCTCCTAGCAGATTATTTCCTAACAATACGATAGAAAATGCGGCTTGGGAAGATGAAAGTACAGGTGTACTTGTGGTGAAGGCGAAACACGCTGGAAGGTGAGTTCACAAGAACGATGTTAAATAGCGGTTCTGGGGATAACAACGTTTACCATTTTGCTCCCCTGCCTTGACTCACATATGAGCTTAAGTAATGTCCCATTCCTAATCCATAGGGTTCAATATGGCGTCGGTCCACCCTTTGCAACTAGAACAGCTTCAACTCTTCTGAGAAGGTTAATCTTCTCAGAAGGTTTAGGAGTGTTTAAGGGGATTTTTGACCGTTATTCCAGAAGCAAATTTGTGAGGTCACATAGTGATGAATTAGTCTCCGCTCTAATTCATCTGAAAGGTGTTACATTGGGTTGAGGTCAGGACTCTGTGCAGGCCAGTCCAGTTCATCCACACCAGATTCTCCCATCCATGTCTTCATGGACCTTCCTTTGTCCGTGTTGGAAGAGGAAGGGTCCAGATCCAAATTGTTCCCACAAAGATGGGAGCATGGAATTGTCCAAAATGTCTTTTTATTCAGAGTTTCTTTCACTGGAACTAAGGGGCCAGGCCCAGCTCCTGATAAACAAGCCCACACCACAGTACCCACTGGATCCCCCTGTAAACAGTGCACTTAGGACGGTGCCAAGTGTGCACCAAACTGCACACTTGGCACAATGCAGTCAGACAAGTACCGTTCTCCTGGCAACCGCCAAACCCAGACTTGTCCATCAGATTGCTAGATGGAGAAGCGTGATTCGTCACTCCAGAGAACTCGCCTCCACTTCTGCAGATATCCACTTTACACCACTGCTTCTGACACCTTGCATTGCACTTGGTGATGTACGGCTTGGACGCAGCTGCTCCACCATGGAAACCCATTCCATGAAGCTGTCTGTTCACTTTTCTTGACCTAAACATAAAGTTTGAAGTGTGTAGTGATTTACTCTGCAGAAAGTTAGCAACCTCTTCACTCTAAGAAGTTCTACATCCACTGACGTCGCTACCTCAGTTTACATGGCCTCCCACTTGCTGTCATTCCCAAACACTTTCATTTCCTTATAATATAGCTGACGATTCCTATCACAGTTGTATGCTGAAATCCACTGAGCCACACATAGTGTTGTTTCAAAAATTAAAATAAAGCACATCAAAATAAAATAAAAACAATAAAAAAAACTTGTGGGTCTCACTGACCCCCATCTCACCATGAGTGGGTTAACAACTAGCACTTCTGTGAAGATTTTTGAATTGTCTTGTTGCTCAAAATGTGCTGTACAAATAAAATATCTGTGTCCATCTCTGACAAGCTTATGAGACTTGGTGTCTTTAAGGGGTAACTGCAAATTGATGAAGTAGTTAGACAATTTCACAACTGGGGGGTCACTGGGAAAATAATCGTCTGGCAATTCCTTCTTCCTTCCCTGTCATATATCAATTTTCCCTTGGACAAGGTCCTTATCCCCAAGTTGCCTACAGACCTATTTCATAAAACACTGATAAGACATATCTGGTTTCTTTGACATCCAATATGAAAATGTTTGAATAGTGAAAGTGCCTGTCAATGTAACACAATTACTCTCCTCTTGTGTACTGCGATGTGCTTTATTTTAATCTTTGAAACAACACAAGGTGCAACTATGTTCTGCAGTATGCCATGTATTTTCATATGTCGTAAAAATGTTCAGAGTGACCTGGCATGGTAGCAGGTGTCAGAGCCGTATTTTGGTCAAAGACCAGCTATTAGCGACTGTCAAACAAAGTCGCCAAGCAGCTGAATAGTGGAATCATTTGTTGATGCGCCAGGTGATCAAAACTTAAATCCAAGCTGCAATTAAGAAGGCAGAACATCAGTGGATAACAGACATAAGTGTCCAAAAGCAGCAATAAACATGGATCCACAGGTTTAAACAGTGTTAATTCTCAGTACTCAGCCACGCCCTTAACTCCTCCCAACTCTAGCAGACTGACTACTGACCAGCTCTCCGTCTCACGGGTCCGAAAAGACTCTAATTCCCGGGTATTACCGAAGATAAGAATTTAGAGAACTTTTATTTAAGCTGGGAACGGGGATGATCCGTCCAAGTTCTAACTACCTTCATCCAGACGTTATGCCCCACTTCAGTTCATGACCCAGACATCGGAGTAGCCCCGCCGATGTCCGAACTCATAAACCACATCTGTTAACGGTAGCTCTTCCCCTATAATTAACGTGCACTTGGTAACCGACTTGGATAATTTTTAGCGACTAGGAATAAGTCCCAGGGACATTATTTATCTGAACTAAAGAACGTACGAAGCCACCCCAAGTTACTAGGACCACAAACATTGATTTTACAATGATCAGAGAAATTAAATCTAAATGACCCAATTAATTTAACTGTCCACAACGTCAAATTAGACTTTAGTAATTTTATTAGCAAGCTTTAGCAAGGGAAAAGGACATACAGCATTTTAATAAAAAATATAAGAAATTAAAACTTTTAAGAATCATCAGAAATTACTCCTACTTCTAACCCTACACTGTGTCTTAATCTAAATAGAGGCTTTGGGGGGAGGCAGTAATACTCAAACCCAGATGCAGAGACGATCTTTGGCAGCAGATACTTTAACGTCCATGGATGGAGTCCTGTCATTGTCTTGGCAGGATCCTTACAGAATAAATCCAAAGTTGAACTGGTGAGAATCCTCAACAAACTCAGTTCTTTATCCACAAAAGATCTTTGTCTATTCCCCATGTCCACTGTAGCATCGTTGTAATCCTTTGGGTTGAGTGCAGGGCCGCAGTCGAATCAGAGTCCCGGGTTGTGGGCAAACGGATCTTGTCCCTTTCTTGGGCAGCGAACAGTCGTCCCGGGGTATCATCACGCAGCCCTCCGTTGATTCTGCTTCTCCATTTGCTCGACTCGAACGCCGCGGAACAAAGAACCTCGAACCTCCTGCGTGGTGTCTTTTTATATTCTCGGCATCCACACACTTTCTTTTCTCATGGACGTTTTTACTTGACGTCAACTGTTCTTTAGTTAGCCTCAGACTACAGATGAACTTTATTTCTCCTGAGCTGCACTTTCAGTTCCCTGTCTGAATTCTGCACCTGTTTCCTCCGTACTGACTGCTTGGACAGATGATCTCATATCCATCACCATCTTGAAGACATGATGTCTGTTCTAATGACCTAATGTCTTGGTTACCTCTGCTCTCCTTTCGGTTCCTCTTTTCCCCTGACCTACCATCTACCTCCAACACATCATCAGTGACCTTTAGTTACAGTTACACATCAGGTGATGTCACCTGACTAATCAGTTTTAAAGATAACTTTATTCATTGTTATTATTAAACTAAAATCTCCAGCATGGGGAAATGGGATGAGCTCGACTTTTCTCGACAACAGTGATCAACAGTGATCAAAAAAAATCATTCAACTTAAAGCAGTCAGCAAACTTCCCCTATCACCTACTCACAGATGATCTACAATCACTACTAACACCACGTGATCCAGAGCTACGCCTTTCCACAAC